CCCCCCCCATTTAAAAGAAAACCGGCTATGGAGAGCTGGGCCCAAGGGACAGGAAGGAGACCGGGTCACATGTCTCCTGCCAAGACCCCGGGGGCTGGGCCTGACCCCACAGTGATGGGAAAAACCCTGCGGACGGTTCCCTGCAGAGGACCAAGCAGGACATTTAATGCTGGGTCACTGGGCACTGGCTGGGCCAGGGGACAGTGAGCTATTCTGGGGTGTCCTCAGAGAGCCAGCCCCTCCTGTCCCCTCATCCCCGGGCTGTGCTTGAGTGCTGCACGCTAGTGAGGGGCTTGACTATTTGTAGGTTCTGATTGATTATCCTGGCTAATGCCTACTGACCTCTTCCCTCAACAACCAGCCAGGTCAGGCTGAGTTTGAAAATCGACTCACAGATGTGGCAAGTGGCCCGCACTGAGCCCAGCACACCTGTGCCTCTCACGTGCCTCCCTGTGCAGCTCTGGCACCGTGGCCCAGGTGCTGCGTTTGGGGCTGTGGACAACCAGCACTCCTGCAGAACCAACGGTGAGAACAGAAGCAGGCAGGTCAAAGCCACCCAGCTGCACCCCGGGGCTTCTGGTGTAATTAACAGTCAGGGCACCCAAACATCATGAGACTGAGAAAAGAAGAAAAACCAACGCTGAATAATACAAAAAACCGCCCTGGTCACATGGCTCACTAGGTACTGAAAATAAAAACAAAGCTAGGAACGTCAACCATTAACTCACTGACCCTGAAACGACCTCCTAAGTTCCTGCCACCCTTCGAGAACTGAGCTTGTCACTGACAAAGCTGACAACCCAGGGTGTGGTTGTAAGTAGCGTGTTTTCAGTGCATCACTCTCCTGAGCTTCAGGCGGCCTGCCCTTTGGATACCACCATCCAAATGTTCCCAAGGGCCCCTAACTCAGCACCCAAAGTGAGCCCCTTCGCACACGACACCCGCTGCTTCCCCTGGGCCAGACTTGGAAGACGGATGCTCAGTGGCTTTTCCCGAGTGGAGTTTAACCCCACACACTAGTGGTGTTGATTAGAGAGGAGAAGTGCTGAGCAGGCTGCGCCCTCAGTGAGCATTATTCCCCCAGACCGACACGCCTCACCCCCGACAGCAGGCTGTGGAGTCAGGAGTGAACTGTGGGTCATGGTGCCGGGCGCAGTGGGAGATGGGGGTGGGACTATACGGGGACATCACCCACCCACAGTGCTGGGCTCAGGGCCGGGGGCAGCAGCCCCAGCCACCCAAATGCTCATCAGCGGCTCCGAGTCTGCACAGCTGGCAACTGCTCCCTTTATTTATGTCGACGGCAGGAGCAGAGAGTCTGTAAGATCTATTTCTGCATGTTGGTCCTGGAGAAGCAGCAATCAGGCTAAATGGGAAACGCTGCTGACTTGGTTACAAACGCCGCGAATCCTATTATTATAAATACCAACCAATTCCAGGAGCTGCCCCGTCAGAGACCCCGGCTGAGCTGGTGGCCCCCTTACTGCAGGACCACGCACCGTACGGAAACGCAGAGACTACTACGCGGGAGCTGGAGGCAGCTGGTGACCTGCGGTTCGCCTATCACCCTCCAGTGTTGGAAAGTTTCATCAGGGACACTCTGGGCCAGCTGGGAACCTGGCCCCTCGTGAGTGGCTGCAGCGTGAGCACAGGCTGAGCCCCCAAATCCTCATGAGTAGCCGGTGGTCCGGGGAACCCAGGCTGGACAGGAAGTGGCTGCGCTCCTGAGCCAAGACCTTGGGAAGCAGGCCTGGAACTCGGGGCTCCAGGCTTAGAGACAGGAGGTGTGGGTGCAAGAGAAGCGACCTCTCCTTAGGGCCGAGGGGACAGCAGCGGGAGGCACAGGCCTGCGGCGAGGTCGGGCGGGGCCCTGGCTGAAGGGCGGTGGGACCGTTTCCTCGTGGAGGGAGCCATGTTTAATAGCATCTCGTGTGCAGAGGAAGAATATTCTGCAATACAAATCGGAGAAAGTAAACAAAAGCCTTGGCTGGTGAGGGCAGAAGTGACATTTCCTTAGAGAGATCTGAGCTGCACAATCTCTGGGGAAGCACTAGGTTTATGCTGAAGAGAGCAGCAGGTCCCCGGCACAGAAAGGCGGGATCTAGTGGTGTTAGGCCTCTTAGGTGCCGTGAAGTGTCGGGACACCTGTTTTGCAGTGACCAAGGCATCCAGCGCTGGGTCCTTTGGTAACAAGCACGCCTGTTTGGCTGTAGCTGTTTGCCTGCCTCCTGGCTCTGACTAAGACAAGGTGTCCGCCAGCCCGTTCTCAGTTCTCAGTTCCCGAGGAGGACATTTCCTTATAGGGAAGCAAGGAAGGCTCAGCCGTTTCACAGAGAAAGAGAAAGAACCAGAACTTTCACCCTTGGCTCGGAGTGGAGCTGCTCCAAGGAATGCGGTCCGGAGACCACGCCCCCTTAACCCTGGCATCTCCGGATCACAGGGCACATCGCTGGAGGCAGTGAGAGCTTCTGGATCTTTACTGGAGATGCTCAGACCCTCAGGCACCTTCGCCTAAAGGCCCTGGTGTATCTACAGTCAGGAAGCTGTAGGGCTGAAGGCTGAGGTCTTGGTCTCTTCCACTCGGACTGGGACCTGAGTCAGTCCCCTCCCTGCTCTGCAGACAGAGCCCTCCTCCTTCCTTGTAACTTCAGCTCAGGGCCCCCCTCTTCCGCATGTGGGGCTCCCACAGCTCCCCTGTTCTGTCTTCTCTGACGCTCGCGTGCCCTAATCTTTAGATATACTTGATTGGCAGTGTTGGTGACGGGTGTGGGTTTGCAGTGAGAGACCTGGCGCAGCCTCCCGGCGGAGTGGTGCTGTGAGCCACGTCTCTCCTGTGTACCTCAGTTCCCCCACCTGTAAACTGGAGGCTGCAGTCTCCACCTTTCAGGGAATCAAGGTGAAGGCCAGTCACAGATTGAGTATTTGGGTGAAATAGTCCCATTTCTGTGCGTTAGACTGTTCAGAACCTTGGCTGTCCCCGTGAGGTGGGGCCACAGGCGGAGACGTGCCCATGTCTGCCTCACCCAGCAGCGGCCACACTGGGCATGAGAGGCACATGAGCCCAGCACCCCACACGTCTTGTTCAAGAGCTCCCATCAAAAGGGGCAGCACTCTGGGGAGTTGGGGGAGGGGAACGGGGCCCAGCGGGGTCTCGGCAGAGAA